TCCGTTGCGATGGATTGCCTCACTTCCGGGTTTCCTCCGTTGTGGAACGTATATGGGGTCGAATTGAATGTGTGTTCAACGCATTGAACTCGACCCCCTATACATTCCACGACGGAGGAAACCCGGAAGTGAGGCAATCCATCGCAACGGACCCCAGAGTTTAAAAACCAGGCGGGAAAACACACCGACGCTTCATCAGAGGCTGCACTGAGGATGTTACCAAGCAAGGTAACGAAACGTCTGCGGAACAACAAACCAGCTCGGCGAGCCAACCAACCTCAACAGTAGCAATTATGTCGTGTGATTTTAAAGTAGTTTGTTTCCATACTGATAGACGTGCATTCCATTGTTTTCAAGAACCAATCATGATTTGAAGAATCAAACAAAAAACAACTATTCTTGCTGTTTCTGTTTGTGTACAGACTGCATATGAGAATTGGTTTATCACGCTGTACAACGTTCTGTACAGCAGTCTTCCAGTATTGGTCGTTGGGGTGCTTGATCAGGTATTATTCAATTTATTCATACACATTCACGTATTATCTCGCCATTGAATGTATGTACCAGAGGCTGACCACAGTCAACTCAATCTCACCATCAGCTCTTTTAATTTCTGCAGAGTTGCTAAATTATTCAAGTGCTTGTTCAACATCAAGTACTAGCTGGATACAACTTTGCCAAATTGAAATATTATCAAGATTGAAGCCATTGTTTTCAGTAACTGCTCCAAACTCTCTCTTCCCTAGCTACCACTGAATCCCTCTCCCTGACATCCGTCTTGAAATTGAGCCAGTCTTTTTTTTATTATTCATTTGCGGGATGTGGGCATCGCTGGCTGGCCAGCATTTCTTGCCCATCCCTTGTTGCCCTTGAGAAGGTGGTGGTCAACTGCCGTTTTGAACCAATGCAGTCCTCCTGCTGTGGGTTGACCTGCAATGCTATAACCTGTCTGCAACCATGGTGTTATATTTAAATAACTGTGGATGCTGCAAGTCTGAAACAAACACAGTGAACGTTGTAGAAACTTAGCAAGTCTGGCAGCATCTGGATGGAGGGGAAACAGAATTAATGTTTTGAGTCCAGTATGACGCTCTGAAGAGTTGTGCGATATAGCAGAGGCATGGGCTGATTCCACAGAGAATGGGAATGGACTTGATGGGCATTATGGCATTTTCCTGTGCCATAATGACTGACTGACTGTGACCCTCTGATATCTGTGTTTGTCTAATTCTAGCCTCCTTTGTATCCACAACACCTTCAGTTGCCCTGATTCCAAGCTCTGGAATACATGCTCTATACTTCTGTCCCTTTCCACCTCCCTTAAGGGCAATTGTGGAGCAATGATGGTGTCCATACATCTGAGCCAGAATGTCTGGACTCGAGTCCCACCTGCTCCAGAGATGTATCATAACATCTGTCTGAACAGATTGGTTAGAAAATCTCTTGACCTTTACAATACTCCTCAGAGCCAGGTTTTTTTTGCATCTGACCTAATTCTCCCCATGTGACTTGGTACACAGTTTTGTAACGTGTCTGTGATTTCTGTTGAGAAGTTCCATTGTGTTTAATGAAAATGAATCATAGAATTATACTGTATAGAAGAGACCCTTCAACCTATCAAGTCTTTATGTAACCAAATGCTATGCTAATTCTACACTCTTACCACTTTGCAACACTTGGCCCATAGCCTCGAATGTCATGCCATTTCAATTGCTTATTCTAATACCTAAAGGTTATGACGTTACTTGCCTCTACCTGCATTCCAAACCTTATGACCGTCTGAGTGAAAACCCTTTTCCTCAATTACCCTCTTAAACCTCCTGCCTTTCATCTGAGAAATGTGTGCTCCCTTTCTTACTGACCCTTCAACTAAGGGGAACAGCTGCTTTCTATGCATGTCCATATCCTTCCCAATCTTACATACCTATATTAGGTCTCCTCTTGACCTTCTCTGCTCTAAATAAAATGTCCAGCCTCTCTTCATACCTAAGCGCTCCATCCCAGGCCATGTCCTCCACAGGTTGTTTGAAAATGTTATACTGTGCTGATAGGCTCAGTTGGTTGGATGGTTGGTTTGCAATACAGAGTAATGCCAATGAATTTGATTCAGTTCCCGTACCAACTGAGATTACCATGACAATCTCATCTTCTCAAGTTAACCCCTTGTCTAAGGGATAGTGACCTTTAGATTAAACCACCACCAGTTGGCTCTCTACTGAAAAAGCAGCCTATGGTCTCTGGGACTATGGCAACTTTACTGTTGCTGACATAGACAAAAATTCTTTCGGCTCCAGCATAATACCAACTAAACTAAATCCCCTTCCAAACCAATAGACAGAAGTGGCAATGTTTTAATTATGTGAGATTAAAATACACCGCACCTGTCATGCTCTTACAGTTTGCTTTGTATTTTTGTGATGTCACACAACTTACTTTGTTGAAAATTTCTTTCTTACTTTCCTTTGTCCTTAGGATGTCACCGATAAACTGAGTCTTAGGTTTCCGGCGCTTTATATACCTGGGCAGAAAGGTTCTTACTTCAATTTTAAGAAGTTTTTTCTCAGCTTGCTTCATGGCATTATTGTCTCCCTAATCATTTTCTTCATACCTTACGGAGCATTCCTTCAAACAATGGGACAGGATGGTGAGGCACCGACAGATTACCAGTCGTTTGCAGTCACTACGGCCTCATCTCTCACCATAACTGTTAATTTTCAGGTAAGCAGATGTCTTGTGGGTTATCCCATGCCATTTACATTTTTCTCATCATCCAAAGGTGGGAACTTCTGCTCATTTAGGATTTTATCTTTGCAACTATACTTTACTACCTCAAGTAATTTGGCACTTATTGTCAACAATGTATTAGAGGCGGGGGATATTATCCACATACATATGAAGTCATATGTTTAGGTGTTGGTAACCGAAGTATGGAACAGAGCAACCTGTACAGCAACCTCCTGATTGCTATATTTAACTGTGTCTCTGCAACAACCAGATATTGCTTATTGCTGTTTTAAAAACTTGCTCATTAATAACAGCAAGTGCTGCTATAACCAGACCATTATTTCTGCCTCAAATTCCAGTCGTTGTTTTCTGCAAGCTCAGCAAATTTCATTCTGTAATTGCTGACTTATTTAAAAGCAATGAAGAAGTTGCAGAGTGAATCTGTGATGTCACTGTCCAATGGTCATCTCTTCAGTTGTAATAGGGGGGAGGTGATGACCTAGTGGTATTATCACTGGACTGTTAATCCAGAGACCCAGATAACATTCTGGTTCGAATACACCACGGCAGATGGTGGAATTTGAATTCAATAAATATCTGAAATTAAGAATCTAATGATGACCTTCAATCCATTGTTGATTGTCGGAAAAACCCATCTGTTTCACTAATGTCCTTTAGGGAAGGAAACTGCCATCCTTACCTGGTCTGGCCTACATGTGACTCCAGATCCACAGCAATGTGGTTGACTCTGAACTGTCCTCTGGGCAATTAGGGATGGACAATAAATGCTGCCTAGCCAGCAACGCCTTCATCTTGTGAATGAATAAAGGAAAAAAAGCCCAACAAAACAAAATAGACAAATGTGAAGCTAATTTTTTATTATGTTTTGTAGAAATTTGACAAATATATAGCCCTTCTCATTTAAATATTATGTTCACAAATTTTAATTTTGTTTCTTGCAGATTGCTCTAGACACCTCTTACTGGACGTTTGTCAATGCCTTTTCAGTCTTCGGAAGTATCGTTCTATATTTTGCAATCATGTTTGACCTTCACAGTGCAGGAATCCACATTCTATTTCCATCGGTTTTTACCTTTACTGGTTAGTTATATTGCAATGTATTTATAGCTTATAAATAGGCCTCTTGGTTCTGTAGTCTAATTTGTTGATATTTCATTTAAGCTGCCTTCCATCCATGTTTGAAAAAAGAAATTGGTCATTTACATTTGTTCAAAGACATTGGTTAATGAGATGCAATAAAATAAAGAGCTGCTCTTTCGCATTTCATCCAGCAAAGTCTCTTCCTAAACTTCTATCCAAAACAATGAGAAGAAATTCATTTGGACAGTCTTAATTCAATTTAAAATTGACTCCTGAAGTTCAGCTCAACCTGGTAGATGGCACAAATCAACAAAAAATGCAGAGACCAGAGATGTGGGTTATTAGTGTGGGAAATGGCAGCAGTAGACTTAATGTAGAATTGGGAGCACTTTTTTTGTGTGCGTAGATTATATGCATTATTGGACAGACTGAAGTGGGTTTTACTGAGTAGTTGGTTTGTGTTCTGACACTGACAAACAGTCAATGTCGAAAAGTGCCCATTTCACAGCACTGTTGGCCATTACATTGATGTGTAATAAATCATTTGATCCACGATAATTCTGCTAGACATAGATGACTAACAAAACTTAATGATGGTGAAAGTTGTTCAATGTAGAGCTGAGTAGATACTGAGTATGTCATCTGTATGTGTGTATTGGGAGCCATTTTGGAATGGTACTTCACAGTTGTGTCTGTAATGTTAAATTATGTTCCAAATAATCTGTGATTATTACATTGAATTAATGTAATTAGCCTCAAAAAAGGAGTTTCAAATGCAACTTTGATTTTTGGTCTTTTAACTGTGCATTAACGTACCCTGTATTCTTTACTTAGGTGCTGCTCCCAACGCTCTTCGACAGCCATACCTATGGCTGACCATCATATTAACTGTGGCAGTCAGTCTCCTTCCTGTTGTTGCTGTTCGTTTCCTGATTCAGGTTGTCAACCCTTCAGAGACTGACAAAGTAGGTACAAGCTGGTTGTCAAAATCAGGTTTAATCTGTCACTCCATTTTGGAAATAATTGTTTCAATCCACTTTTACAAACTAACTTTTTGGATATTCATTTTTTTTTTCAATGTCAATTCCCTGTAGAGAAACTGTTTGTAATGACTTGATTTCATTTGGGAAGTAAACCTTTTTAAGTTGACACTCCATTAGTGACTGGAGAAAGCATTGTCAGTAATTAGCTCAATAAGACTAGAGCCAGGTGAGAGCAATCCCATCCAGGTGGACAACAGTGGAGAGGTGTTGTATCAAAGGCTACGGACAGGCTGAGGAGGACGAGGATTTAAAATTTACCTTTCTCACCATCGAGTAGGGTGGAACGGTGGCTCAGGGTTTAGCACTGCTGCCTCACAGCACCAGGGACCTGGGTTCAATATCACTCTCGGGCAACTGTCTGTGTGGAGTTTGCACATTCTCCATGTGTCTGTGTGGGTTTCTGCTGAGTGGTCTGGTTTCCTCCAGCAGTCCAAAGATGTGCAACTTACGTGGATTGGCCATGCTAAATTGCCCGTAGGTTTCAGGGATGTGTAGTTAGGTGCGTTAGTCACGGGAAATATAGGATTACAGCGAAATCGTAGGGAGACGGGTCTGGGTGGGAATCTTTCTGATAGTTGATGTGGACTTGTTGGGCCAAATGGCCTGTTTCCACACTGTATGGATTCTGTTCTTCTATTTGTGACATCAAGGAGAGAATTTCAATATTGTGACAGAGGCAGAAACAGGTTTGGAGGGTTTTAAACATGGAGTTGCAGCAAAGGTGAATTTGCAATTTGATGGACTACGAAAAGAAAAGGCAATTCGAAATGGAATGGTAGTTTCCACGGATAATTTTGTCAAGTGATGCCTTTTTGAGGATGTGCATCATGATGGTGGGTTTAAACGGGAGAGAGCGAACACCTGGAGAGAACTCTGATATCATCTAAAATAATAGGAACTAGGTGGAAGGTTAGGTGGTCAGCAGTGTGATGGGAATAGGATCATGGGGAAAATGTTTTGGGCACAAAGGGAGCTCAGAGATGGCATCGGGGGGAAAAGAGAAAATCTGGAGAAAAATGCTTGTTCATGGCAGTGTTTAGTGTGAAATCGCACCGAGCCATGGCTGAATTGGCCGATTGGACAGACCCAACTGTTGTGAAAAGCTCCTTGAACTTATTGTTGGAGGGGAAGGTGAAGAGGACAAGGGAATAGGGGTTTAAGGTAACTGATTATTGTAGAGAAAAGCATTTGGGGGTTGTCTTTGAATTCCAGGACAATCTTGGAACTATAAGCAATTTTAGCAAACACCAGCAGGACCAGATACTGATTGAAGTGGTTCACTAGATCTAGTGATGGGTGACCAACCTAGTTGTGCATCACATCTTTCATGGGAGTGGCCATACTAGGGGCATAGCAACAGCCAGGTTAAGTAATTATTTTACTGGGGATGAGGGCATCAAGGGTGGAGGCAAGGGTACAGTTGAGCAAATCAGAGATGCCTTTTGTGTAATTGATAAATTGGACGAGCAAGACCATGGATCAAGGAGGTGGGTTTTGTTGTGTATTCAAAATCGTATTGTGCACTTTGTCCACTAAACATTACCATGCTCATTATCCGAGAAGAGAACTAGAAAAAGAATCAAGAAATCCTAGAACTCTCTTACTCTAACAGCATTGTGTATATAACTAAACCTTTTGGACTGCAGCAGTTGAAGAAAATAGATCAACACCACCTTCTCAAGAGTCTTTAGGGATGAGCAATAAATGCTGACCCAACCACTGATGCCTATGTCCCATACATGAACGAAAACAAACTTGCAGCGTGACAAGCTATATTGCTATAGTTGTCTCTGTCGTTGATGTTGCATTGCAGGAGTGATGAACGCTCAGACTTTACAACAAACATCTGTTGTAGGTTGTCTGTCTTGGCAGACAAGAATCTCTCCGCAAGCTCTTAAATTAATTGGTGGCAATGCTTTAAACAACTTTTTAAAATTAAATTTCATTACAGATTCAAATGAACCGCAAAATGTACGAGATTGAACTGCGACCTAAACGAAGTAGACCAAGGTCTTTCCAACGGAGTGCATCTGTTCGTCGATCAGGCTATGCATTTTCACATCAGCAAGGATATGCTGACCTAATTTCTTCAGGTCGTAGTATCCGAAAGAAAGGCATACGCTCTGAGCCAGGTGTCAGCAAAAGTAGGACATATGAAACAGCGGGTGCAAATGCAAGCTGAAACCGTCAATGTGCTGTTGCCTCCTTAAGACTTTCTTTGTATTGATAAACAACTTGACAGAAAGAGAAATCTTGATTTATAAAAATATATAATTCTCAGGATAAATTGGAGGAAGATTGGAATGTGTTTCCTCACGTGTACACTGCGAGATAAAGAATCCTTCCAATTTGCACACAACTGAGGACTCTTTGGTTTTCAGGAGCCAACCATCATTTAATTTAAACCTGAAGGTGGAATGACTTGCTTTACGAGCGCCATCCCTCACTTACTATGCTGCAATTAAGGCTTTTGTCCACAGAACTGCAATAAAGAAAATTGAATTTTGTTTTATTGACTTGCAGTGAATACCTGAACAGATGAGGTGGTTTTAATGTTTACATTGAAGATTTACATTAACCAGTTTTTATTAGTTTTTGAGAATATTAAAATATTGTTTCTCTTATTTGATCCGTTACAAAATATGAAAACATTCTTTCCCTTTTATATTTTCTGCTATATTATCCAGGCTTTTAAATATACATTCCAAAAAAGAGCATTACAAATCTGCACTGCCATTTTTATGTTCAGATCTGAAGTTCTTAAATATATTTTTTCAAATGTAATTGGAGATTTAGCTTAAATTTTCTTGCTAACTTTTTAAAATGATTTATTACTTCTCCTTTGTCATAAATTAAAGAATGTGTGTGTATATAGTGATATTTCTAGGATTTTTTTTTGTACCATAAAAGGATGATTAAACAAACATTTAAAAGTATGAATTTGTGTTTAATTATTCCAGCAGTGTAAATAGAAATGTAGGAAACAAAAGCAGGAGTGGACAGTTCAGCCCTTTGAACCTGCTCCGCCATTCAATATGATCATGGCTGATCATTCAACTCAGTACCCTCTTCCTGCTTTCTCCCTATACCCTTTGATTCCTTTAGCCACAAGAACTGTATCTGTCTTCTATTTGAAAATATTAAATATTTTGGCCTTAGCCCCTTTCTGTGGCAGAGACTTCCACAGGCTTGTCCTCTCTGGGTGAAGAAATTTCTCTTCATCTCAGTCCTGAATGGCCAATCCCATATCCTTCGACTTAGTTCTGGTCCTCCCAATCATCTGGAACTCCTTCCTTCATTTACCTTGTCTAATCCTGTTAGAATTTGACAGGACTCTATGAGATCCGCCCCTCATTCTTGTAAACTCAGTGAATAAAGCCCTAACTGATCCAATTTCTCTTCATACATTAATCCTGCCATGCCCAGGATCGGTATAGTAAACCTTTATTGCTATTCCTCCATAGCCAGAACATCTTTTGTCAGTTAAGGAGATTGAAAATAAGTATGGATGAATTAAGGAAAACCAGCATAGATTTGTTAAAGGCAAATTGTGCTTAACGATAACAAAGGAAAATTAAAATACTACAGGTGCTGGAAATCGGAAATAGAAATGGAAAATGCTGGAAATACTCCAGCCTGCTGGCATTTGTAAAGAGGGAAATAGAGTTCATGTTTCAGGTCAATGACCTTTTGTGAGAACTGGTAAATGTTTAAAATGTGAGGTTGCATCTCTGCTAATGTAATGGAACAGAAATTAGGCCCTATCAAGTGTCCCACTGCACTAGAGCTAGAACCATTGTTGCTGCCTCTCCATGCTGCTCACTTTATGGTTCCCCTTATCACCCTGCCTGGCACTTCATTTTTCATTCCATTTGCTTTCTCCTAATATTTTTTATTTTGATTAGATTGAATTGTACTTTGAATATTGTGTTCACAGCATGTGGTTGGAGAACTGATAATGTGTTGCAAGATAACCCCTTTTGTGCTTAAACATTATAATTGCATGTTAAAGTTAAAAGACCTACATTTTTAAAGGCATGGAGATTATGGGTGGATTGGTGCCTTCAGGTCTTTAGCAACGCGTGGCCCATATCCCTCCAAACATTTTCCATTCATGTCTTTATCTAAATGTCTTTTAAATGTCAGAACTGTACCCAAATCCACCACTTTCTGTGGAAGTTCATTCCACACACAAATCACTGAGTATAAAAAAAAATGCTCCTCATGTCTTTTCTAAATCTTTCTCCTCTCACATTAAAAAATGCTCCCAGTCTTGAAATTCTTCACCCAGGAGAAAAGAATTATGAATTATGAAACTTGTACCCTGGTAGCAGTAGTTGGCAGACCTGGGCAGTGAGTATAAAATATGTTAGGTTTAGGAATCTCTGTCCTAGTTACCATTATGTGGAAGTGTCGGTGTTGGACTAGGATGGGCAAAGTCAGAAGTCACATGACACCAGGTCATAGTCCAACAGGTTTATTTGAAATCACAAGCTTTTGGAGCACAGCCCCTTTGTCCAGTGCAGTGAGAATCATAGAATCCCTACAGTGTGGAAAAGGGCCCTTCGGCACAACAAGTCCACACTAACCCTCCGAACATCCCACCCAGACCCATCCCCTTATAACTCACCTAATCTACACATCCCTGAACACTATGGGGCAATTTAGCACAGCCAATCCACCTAGCCTGCACATCTTTTGACTGTGGGAGGAAACCAGAGCACCCGGAGGAAACCCACACAGACACGGGGAGAATGTGCAAACTCCACACAGACAGTAGCCGAGGGTGGAATTGAACGTGGGTCCCTGGCGCTGAGGGGCAGCGGTGCTAATCACTGAGCCACCGTGCTGCCCCTCCCACTATCTGAGAGAGCAAGGCACAGTGTTTCTCGCGGAGAGATCAAAAGATCATACAACTGGTGTGAGTGGAATGTCAGATAATAAGTATCTGCAGGTAACCAAGAGAATTAGATGATGCGTCAAGTGTCAACAGCTGAATAACCAGCGAAGGGATAACCCATAATCTGATTAAAAGAGGCAGAGAGATAATTAGGAAAAATTAAAAATAGGGTGGCGTTAGAGACAAACCAAAAGACAGGAATAACATGATAGATGTAAGAGTCACAGGCCGAGTGTCTGGCCAAAGTAATGAGTAATTCAAACCTATACAAACCAATTAAGGTAGAGAGATCATAATTTATCCAGGTGATGGTGTCAAAACAGGACAGTAAGGAAGATTTTACAGATACAGAACAGTGTGGTGGGATCACATGTAGCATTACATGAACCCAAAATCATCATCAGCCTCTGATCTTTAGGTAAGTGTCTTCCAAGGCAGACTTTGAGATACACAACAACGCAGAATCGCTGAGCAGAGACTGATAGCCAAATTCCACACATGAAGACAGATGCAACCGTGATCTTGGGGTCATGTAACGCTACATGTGACCCCACCATACTGTTCTGTATCTGTAAAATCTTCCTTACTGTCCTGTTTTAACACCATCACCTGGATAAATTATGATCGCTCTACCTTAATTAGACCCCTGGTGCATGACTTATACCTATTATCTTATTCCAGTCATTTAGTTTGTCTCCTGCACCACCTTATTTTAATTTTTTGTAGTTATCTCTCTGTCTCATTTAATTGGATTCTAGGTCATCCCTTCACTGTTGATATTCAGCTGTTGATACTTTACTCACACTGTCTGACACTCTTGGTTTCCTGCAGAAACTTATTTATCTGACACTCCACTCACACCAGTTGTATGATCTTTTGATCTCAGCTCTTGATCTTTCTGCCTATAAACTCTGTCTGTGTGTTCTTCTCTCTCGCTGCACCTGACGAAGATGCTGTGCTTGAAAAGCTTGTCATTTCAAAAAACCTGTTGGGCTTTCACCTGGTGTCATGTGACTTCTAGCCTAGTCATCATTCTCCATTAAAGACCAAGCAAGATATGAACTATAACTGCTCTGTAACTAAAATGCCTAATTATAACTCTCCAAAGAACCTGTTAAGGCCTCCTGATTGTCGTGTTGGCTTCTTCCACAGAGGTCACTATTAGAAGCAGTTTAGATCATTAAGTTTTGTTTTTCATGTTGTGCTCGAAGCTTCAAAGATACATTTCACAAAATTACTGCTAGAGTGAAAGTTCCTTAAGGTAGAATCTTAGAATTAGCTCTATCATCACATGTACTCAAATGAGTACAGTGAAAAGTCAGCAAGCATTTGCAGTGCTACCTTAGGTACAAAAGTACCTACGAACAGATTCTTTCGTACAAATTTGTCAGTGGCGTTGGGGGGGGGGGGACGATTAGAAAAGTAAATAAAACACGGCGACGCTTTATCAGCAGGGTAATGCAACATCTGTGGAACAACAAACTAGCTTGGCAAGCCAACCAACCTCAACACCCAAACCCGAGCTACAAATCTACTCCAAAGCCTTAGAAATAATGTCTAGCATTACGGGTCATAGGAATAAATTAGAAGAATAGAAAAAGAAAGGAATTCGGAATAATAGTGCCTCCAACCCAGCCCACACTGGCTCCCAGCTTCTAGTCCCCACTGGGCCTTGCCACCAGACTATGCTGGGTTTCACCTTGAGGCTAGGAGACCACTCTGCAACCATTTCAAGGCCAAAAGTCCATACTGAGGCCATGCCAGGCTGCTGAGAGACTGCTACATTGAGGCTGGGAGTTCAGGCCATCGCTGAGAAGAAATTCTGCCTGAGGAGTCCTACCCACCACCATCTTGGATCTGAATATCTGCATTAAGTATTTCATAACTGTGGAAATACAGCAAAGTTGCAAATGTTGCAGGTTAATACTACCTAAGTATAATTAACTTGGCATTGACACTTCCACCTCCCAACCCTGACCACTTATTCCTGTTTTGCCAGCATTGCCTTGATTAATTGTTATGATCTCTGTACCTTAATTAGTTTGTGTAGTTCTGAATTACTTATTACACTCTATCAGACACCCACATTCTCAAACGCACTCACTCTCAAACACAGTATCACACAGACATACTCACACACACGCACACGTATACACACTCTCACATAAACACACACACACATAAATCTATGGGGTGAATCATTTCATCCAAGATGTTTGTTTATTTGTTGATACATTTTATTTTGTTCAAAAACACACAATTTGTAGTCACAGTCAGTGTGGCATCTTATAAATTCCAGCTTTTGGAATAAAACCAGCCTGATTCCAGTTTAAAACCTTGAGAGATTCTGAACAAAGCCTCGCACCAGTGTCTGATCTGAGATGTCACCTTTTGTATATTCCTGTGGATCTGCCTAATTGTCATGACAGCACAGGACTGACATTGACTTTATAAATACTTTACACACCATCTAACACTCTTGGTCACCTACAGAGACTTGTCGTCTGACACTCAGATGGGGCAGCACGGTGGCTCAGTGGGTAGCATTGCTGCCTCACAGTGCCAGGGACCCAGGTTTGATTCCACCCTTAGGCGACTGTCTGTGTGGAGTTTGCACATTCTGCGTGGGTTTCCGCTGGGTGCTCTGGTTTCGTCCCACATTCCAAGACTGTACAGGCTAGGTGGATTGGCCACGCTAAATTACCAATAGTGTTCAGGAACGTATAGGTTACATGTGTTAGCCATGGGAAATGCAGGGTTACAGTGAAAGCGCAGGGGTTGGTTCTGGGTGGGATGCTGTTGAGAGGGTTAGTGTGGACGTGTTGGGCCGAATGGCCTGTTTCCACGCTGTAGGGATTCTATGACTCCACTCACACCAGTTGTATCCGAATCTGCGTGCCTTGCTCTCTCACTGCATCTGCAGAAGGGGCTGCGCTCCGAAGGCTTCTGCGATTCCAGATAAACCTGTTGGACCATAATCTGGCGTTATGTGTCCACCCCCATTACCCCATCTGATGAAGAGTGGTCCAGACTGGA